CAGGGGCCACTTATTCAGCAATCTATTCAGCTGCATCTTCATCAAGCTCAATAACTTTTTCCCCTCAATCGGAGTTTGAGGCTCTCCTCTCCCAAAAAGATGGACCTCAACTGGGTAGTGTCGATGCCCTAAATATTGACCTCCAGCCACTCTGTCATATCAACATATGCATAATTTCGCCTGTATTTAGCAAAACTCTGATACGCCTCAGACAAGTGAAAGTTGGCTAGGAAGGTCTTTTCAGTATCTTTGCTGGCCAATTCAGTATCACTCCTGACACTCTCCACTTCCTCAGGCCAACCACTTGGGAGGTCAACTTTCCCACTTGCCCTTTTAGAGCAACATTCTCTTTATTGACCTTCTCCAAGGTCTTAGCTGTCAGTTTTTGGTGGGCATCAGATGTCTCTACTCGCTTCATTAAGGAGGCTACCTCACTTTCGGATAGAGGTACCTCTTTCTTCAAAGTTTCAATTTTTGCTAAAGCAGAAGCGAGCTTCACTGACTCTTCCTCGTTTTTCTTCTTCAATGCCTCTACATCCGCCTTGGCCTTACTAGCAGCCTTCTCAGCCTGAGAGGCTTTATTAACGAACCCTCAGTTCTTATTTTGAAGGTTTTTAAAGAGGGCTTTAGCCTCTATAGCCATGCTAAAGGCCCTCCCCGTCTAGGCCACCATCGTGGCAAAGACGTTGACGGAATCACTCTTTTCGAAGAAGGATTTCCACTTCTCCATCCAGTACTTATGAAATGTTGTTGTAGCTGTTTGGACTTCAGGATGAAGAAAGATAAGAACCTCATATTTGAGCTTATCTTTCCTTATGGCCAAGGCAGGTTTGGACTTGGGAGCTTCAGAAGTGGTGGAGTAACTAGAAGTCCTAGCCTTCTTAGCAGAATCTTGCCTCTGGGGCTCCACAATAGTTGGCCTCTTATGTTCCCCACAGGCTGCAGCCGTTAAGCTGCCTAACAATTTTTTCCCCACTGGGACCTTAGAGAGGTGGGAGGGATGTTCCTTAAACCACCCATCTCACTGGGGGGTCGGGATCTTGAACCTCTTGTTAGGTTCTTCCTCCACAAATTTTTTACCCCTATCCAGCATAGGAGGTCGTCCCTCCTCCAAAGAGGCAACCTCCTTACCGACTCTCTCAATTTTGTCTCTCGCCTACTTTCCTCCAACAGATGAGAGCTTCAGCCTTTTCCTCAAGGTGGATGTAGCGGCGAGAATGGTGGCCATATCAGGGGTGAGGTGCCTCCTCTTATTGAAATTCTCTAGAAGTCAAGAAATGAACAAGGTCAACAGAGTCCCATTAAAAATAAGCCAAGAAATGAACAAGTATAATGACGCCTTACCCCTCTTTGCCATCAAGCCAAAGTCTTTAAAGAAGTGGCTCAGTTGGATCAAACGGCCGAAGTTACTAAGTCCAAGGATTTATTGCAGACCTTAGTGAGAGTGTCCCAGTCACACTCAGTAAACTTGAACTGTTCAATGACACTGTAAAATGGACACAAAAATATGTAAGTATTAGACCTCGTCAGTTCATAAATTACAAAAGTAGAAAATGCACTCACGGGCATCGGAGTATGAGGTTGGGACTTTGACATGTAGGATGAGGTCACCCTCATACTCCTGTCACTTCTTCCTAACCTAGAACGAGGTCTCCTTCCATCCTTTAATAGATAAAGGCAGACCTACGACAAATGGGGAGTGCGAACCCCATGGACAAGTGAATACCACCCCTTGGAGTCTCCTTTCTCTAAGGATCGAGGTTGGTATACTGTTTGGAAGACGTACAATGGGATGTCCTAGCCCAAGGAGGCCTCCTTCTAAAAGAATTAAGAACCTACCAGGCATTAGGGATGACTTGGGTAGGAGCCAACTTGTATAACCTAAGGACAACCTTAAAGAATGGTTTGATTGACTAGCGAAGCCCAGCCTTTAACAAGAACTCTCTAACGACGATGTAGCCTTGCCTGGGGTAGCAGGCTCGCTCGCTAGGAGATGGAAAATAAGTTTGATGTCATAGGAGATCCTATACTTCTCCCTAAGATTTTCCAAGTAGGTAGGATCTACGGAAGATGGGTTTTTAGCTGTCCCCAGGCTATGCTATCATCCCCATCACCACCACCAGAGATTGAAGAACCTCACGCTGCCTCAATGGCCCTGGCAAGGTTAGCTGTATTTGTAATTTGGAACCCCATCTTACTAGTTAACTCACTAAGATCTATTTTCGAATTCGAAGATACCATTGATTTACAAGTTCGTGCAAAATTTCACAAAGCTGAAAAAGGAAAAATACAATACTTACGATTTTTTCAAAGATAATGAAGGAGGAAGAGCACTGAAATTAGCATAAATAACAAGAAGAAAGGAAATGAACTCGACAAAGAAGAACACTTTGAAGAGATAGAGATGCAAAACATTGTGCAAGAGTAAAGAGATTCTTCCCAAAAGGATTGTGCCTTTTATAGGCAGACCCTCTTCTACCCCAGTTGTTGGATCTTGATCGGGTCATCCAACCATTCTTTCAAAAGTTCTAATCTGAGCCACTCAGCAAGTCTGACGCTTTATCTTCTACGGTCCAGATTAGGACGTCGATGCCACGCACCTTCATGCGTCTAAAATTCGTAATACACGTGAGAGATAGCCATCATTGTGCATTTAATCTGGCGATGGTTGCATGTATTGGGAGATGAACCGCTTCAGCTGTCTTATCTTGGAAACGTGCTACGACATCAAATCATTTAGGCACCATAATTGAGGATGCCTCATGTTTCTCAAAGTCATTAAGTTAAAATGCCTCGTAATTATCATATTTGAAGCTCTATGAGGCTCTGACCCTCTTCACCTCAACCACTTCATTTAGAGTCTCAGTTATGTAAGGGCTCTTCTAAATATACAACTTCGGATTTGCTCTACTTCGGCAAACCTTTTCAGAATTGTTCAAAAAGATGAAATATTATCAAGTAAACCACTTCGGATAACACCTACATAAGGTCTGTACAGGTTAAGTACATTTTAAATTCTAACCATAACATGAATTATTATACTTGGGCTTAGGGGACTATTGTGGTGTGGCAAAAAATTACCCCCTACAATTTTTTTTTCTCATTTTTTAATTAAGTCATGCACTACATAAATAATCATGCCTATACTTAGGGGACTATTATTACTTCTCGCCTCCAAAGCTCAAAAACACGATGCCACGTAGCAAACCACATAGGCAGAAAGTCAACAAAAAAATCAAGTAAAGACCCATGAGGCCAAAACACGAAGAAGGCAAACAAGGACGAAGTCCTTACACTGCAGGCCGAAGTCCTTACACTGTGAGGACGAAGTCCAGGCTGATGCATTACCTTAAAGATGAAGCTGCCTGAGGAAGCAAAGAAAAGAGCCGAAGCTCTCCACTTAGAAAACCACTTCGAAAATTCCTCCGAGGCTCTCAACCCGTCTGAAGGTCGCAAGGCCGATGCTTTTCCTTATAACAGATTTGAAGATCTCTTAGAAGTGATTGATGTAACACTTGTAATAAAGTTTGTCAGTAAGTCAGCCTATTGTATAGAGTGGTTGACCCCTTATCAATGTATTAATTGTATAAATGGACATTGATGTGACCTCCCAATTAGGGAGATGAGATCAGGTGGTTCTTATCCAACGGTCACTATGTTGGTCAAGATAGTATAAATAAGTTTTCTTTGTAACTTAAAAGGGGTTGGATTTTTAATTAGAATAGAGACAATCAAATATATTCAAAATATACACTTGAAATCTGGAGAAGAATATGTTAACACTTGGTCTTGTTTTCTATCTTCTTTGTATGATTGAGAGTTGTAGATCTCGATAAACAACGTAATGATTTCAATGTACGTCATTTCTATCCTTCCACATATTCTCGTTTATTATTATACAAATTAGTTTGATTTTAACCCGACAATTGTTGTTAACGCGATTGCTTTTGTTCTATCCGCTGGAGTTTGAACATTTTTTGTCTCTCGCTGCAAAGTACCCCCCGCGTCCCTCTCCTCTTTACTACTGTCGTCATTCCAGTAGGAACGTGCCGAAATCGTACTTGATTTGGTGTGAGTGAGTCCGACATTTGTTAGCTCATTTTCAGGGGTCAACAATGCATACTATTTCATAGAAATGAACAGTTAATCTTATCCATCAGGATTATAGCCATCTATTCTTTTTAATAGGATTATTCGGTGAAAGCAAACGTTCCTTAATCTTATCATCTTCACTAACTAAAAGCATAATCTTTTAAACGCATCGATGTTTTCGACGATTTAGTTTTATTTGATGTTTTCTCTTTCCTTAGCCTTATCTTCTGTACCCTTGACCTTTTATGGAAACTATATTCATAAATCATGTTACTCGCTTGATATTAGTTAGCGTTTAACGAGTGAGGCTTCCAATTTGCAGAGAGCTTGTGGTGCTTTTAGTAAATTTGTTAAGAGAATCAAAGGGGGTATTGGGTAATACTCGTCTGTCTATTGTCTCTGGTCTGGTCTGGCCTTCTTTACTTGTAAGCTGAGTAACGGTCTCATCTCATTAGCAATTCGTGTATTGATGATTACCTTATTCCTTCTTTTTGGAAACTGGGAAGCAATGACTCAAATTCGTGTTTCTTTACAATCATTTGGTTGTGTTCAGAATTCAAGTTTTTTGCTTGGCTTATGAATTGAATGTGCTATCTTCTACTGGCATTTGATATTGCAACTTTCATTAAGCTCACAATGATTTTTACTTTAGACCACCCTTTTATCGGAAAGATTCAAAATAAATTGGTCCCTTGTTGAATCTCATCATTCCAAGTTGGGGCAGAACGATGACTTTCTTAAGACTATTGTTTCTAAAAGCTGGATGACAGAGAGAGTCAAGACCAAGCCAAAATAAAATAAAATTATAATTGTAAAAATAAAGTAATAAATCGAAAACGAAATTTATGTTCCTTTTATTCAATAGGCGGGGATAAAAATTAAAATGCTAAAACATGATTAATTCTTGTTTAGCTACCAACCAAACAATTTGCAGCAACTTCCATAATTTTGGCTAGTGGTTGGATGGAAACAAACGAAGCATTGGCAGCAGACTCTTCCTTCACCTCATACTCGATTGTGGATTTGGTGATGCACGATGATGAATTCCCTTCCTTTTCTATAACTTGAAACCTAACGCGATACAAGCTAAATCCAATATCAAGATATCCACCTTCAACTATCTCGGTTTCCTTCACTCGTTTCTCATCATCCACCACAGTGAACTTCTCTTTGTAATCGCCCAACCCAGCGCCTATGAGAAAAAAAACTGACATATAAAATTGAATGAAGAAATCCTTGCATTTGATTTATAAAAATTACCTGGTGGAAAACATAGTTTGACTATTGTTCCAGCTCCTCCATCTCCTTCTACGACCTCAATTTTCTCGATCAAATTAGGAAGCGCTTCTCCAACAATTTTGGCAAGTCGGAGAGTGCCGTAGAGCTTCCATGCCTCACTTGCCGGCACGCTCACTTCCCTCTCCTCGGAAACTGTTCCAAACATTTTTTTTTCTTTCTGGCAAGGCAAAAGGGTATAGGTTTGGTGCAGCTAATATAATAGTAATACTAGTTAGGTGAAGACAAAGGCATAGTGCTTTGGAATACGATTTGAAAGATTCCAATAACAAACAGTAAACGACTGCCGAATAAATCCTCCATTTACTTTCATATATATATATATATATATATAAGAACAAAAGAACGAGTACATGATCCAATTCAAGAAACGCTATATCAAAGTGGGTAGCTAAATATTCGTCCAAATTTGTTGGGTCTAATGCTTACGCTACAGATATTGAATTCAGTCGTGAACTTTCATATATATATATATACATATATCCCTACTAATATAAAAGAGGCAATCCACTCGCTACTGTTCATTTGTGAAGCATTTTGCATTCCCATGTTATCCCCCATCAATTAATGGTTTTCCCATTTTATCTTTCCCACACCAAAATTTGGCCGTCTTTATTGACTTAATTGATATCAGTATTTATTATTTGGCCGTCTTTATTGACTTAATTGATACCTGTATTTATTTATAATATAAAAAATTAAAAAAAACCTGCAAACCTACTCAGTGAGGAGAAACCGTCAATTGCAATTGACTCCATGAATATTTTTGTAGTCGGTTGATTAATTTTTTTCGCTTGTACATTTAAAATAAATATCACGCTTGATTAAAAATTGGAATTACAAGAGATCATGATTTT